CCCCCACTCAGTAGTAACCCTCAGCTCTGCTGCTCCACCACTCAGTAGTAACCCTCAGCTCTGCTGATCCCCCACTCAGTAGTAACCCTCAGCTCTGCTGATCCCCCACTCAGTAGTAACCTCCAGCTCTGCTGATCCCCCACTCAGTAGTAACCTCCAGCTCTGCTGATCCCCCACTCAGTAGTAACCTCCAGCTCTTCTGATCCCCCAATCAGTAGTAACCTCCAGCTCTTCTGATCCTTCCACACAGTAGAAACCTCCAGCTCTGCTGATCCCCCACTCAGTAGTAACTCCCAACTCTGCTGATCCCCCACTCAGTAGTATCTCTCAGCTCTGCTGATCCCCCATTCCATAGTAACTCCCAACTCTGCTGATTTCCCACTCAGTAGTATCCCCTAGTTCTGCTGATCCCCAGCTCAGTAGTAACCCCCAGCCCTGGTTTGCTGATCCTCCCCTCTATCTGGTCCCTGTTCACCTTCCGCTATAGTGTTCCCATGTTGCAAACCATATGTGCCATCTGCTAGTTGCTCTGCTCCAGTCCAGACCTCATTCATCTTCCTACTGCTTTTCGCTGCACACCAGATGATGTGTTTATGGTTCGCCCGTTCATTTCCCAGTGCATCCTGGGATATCTCATACCTCCAAAACAAAGCAAAGCTAATTAAAAGCTTTCCAAAAGCTGCAAGTGCTGCTAGCGAGTGTTGTCATAGACTTCCATAGAGGCCTTGGAGATATTTTGAAGCACCAAGAAAGCAACATGGAGTATCATTTTAGAAGCAGAGCAAATGCAACGTGTAAAAAGAGCTGTGAGCTTACCATTTTATTTAGTGACAGGTGCTTTGATTGGTATTCAGAGCACTTTAAAAAAGCTTTTCCAATGACATATTTTGAAGCAAGTGTAAACAATCCCTAACAGTGACATTTTCTTATGAGAAGATCAGTGAAGACAGAGAGCTGCTTACCAGTGTCCGTACAAAACCTCAAAAAATTCAAATGTGTTAAAATCAGTAGTAGTAACAGAGAAGCTTGTTGCCGCATTTCACGCCTAAAGGCACTTACTCATGTTTAGCCATGAAACGCGTCAACAGGCTTCTCTGAGGGTTTGTGATGTTGTCTCCGAGATACATTTGATTTTAACATGTTTGAATATAAGAGCTGAACTGGTGTGTGGTTATCCATCTTTATTGATTTTTACATGTATGCAGTCACAAGCTGAACCTATACCCTTCTGCAGACTGAGGGCTGGGGAAAGGTGGACCAACCTGGAGTGATGCTTTGCTGTATTTGTGAAATGTTATTTTCTTCCTTTTTGTTTGGTAAATATAACATTTAAAGTGTTTTGTTATATCTCTGTTCAATAAGTGCAAAATAAATAAATGTATGTGTGTGTATATATATATATATATATATATATATATACACACACACACACACACACACACACACACACACACACACACACACACATAATGTTGATCCTGCCAGAAATCCAGTAAGCTCATAGCTTTCTGTAGACTCTGTCAGTACTGTAGTGAAATGTAATGGGATCCTATCAGCTCTCCCTAGTTCACCTCTGAACTACAGAATACTCCTTTATGTTATGGAAATGATGAGGGAGGGGGGTGTTCTATACTGCAAATTAGGAGCCAGCTGGCTAGTGTGACAATGCTGCTCCTGCATAGAAACAGTACAATAAATGAGCGACAGGAAGTGTGTTACTGGCTGAATCACCGGAAGAAACAAAAACATGCAATATATAAAATATTTCTTCTTGGGTTTGGATGCAATTTAATGCAAAAGAAATTATATTGAAAAATAAAGTTACAAAAAAAATTCTAAACAGAAATTTAAGTTATTCTGTAATTATTTCTTGTTACTAGCAAATGGTTATATAAGTTGTTAAACAGCATCCAGGAATGTGTCCTGTAACCGTCCTAAGGAATATATCTTTTCAGTCAACTTTAGCCTGAGTGATTTTATTAGCTGGTGCTTCTGCTTCACGCCAGATCACCTGCCAGATGGAACTCCAGCAATTGCCTGGACCGTGATTGATAATGGAAGGGGATAAAGAGATAAAGAGTTAGGGTAGCATAAATGAGTGTGAGAGAAGCAGGAATACAGCAGGGGAGTGATAGTCAAGAGCAGTATGAGTGGTGGGTGGTCTGTAGCAGTGATTGCCGATTAGAGCTGGGCCGGATGTGTAGGACGGTTGGGGGAACAATGTACTGCACAGATGAGCAAAGTTGGCAAGATCAGGAATACTGTATGTGTCCTGCTTACTGAAGGTCTTCAGACGTTGAGAATATCAAGTTACTGGAAAGAGTTTTTATCTGGAGTGAGGTGGTATGAAAATCTGAAACTCCATGCAAGTAGGCTTTGCCCTCAGTATGCTTTTCAAGACTCTTTTTTTTAAATTCTGATTGGAGTATACCTTTGGCCTCTTAACATGCAGGCATTGAGTGTCTTTTGCTAATAATCGTTAGTCTAAAGAGCTTTAGCAAACTTTACAAAACATTTGACAAGCTCTGAAAAGATTTCTAGAGCGCTTAAAGCACCTTTCCACTCACTCCCAAGTGGTGGAATACAAACCTTAATGGGATTGCTTGGTGTTGCTTTAAAAAAAAGCTTTTGGTAGACTTTGTCAACCTAGTTGTTATCAAGTTTCAAACTTGCTGAAGCCTCACAAAAGCATATTTAAAGTTAATCTGACCCGGACAAAAAGTTTTCTAAGGTGACAACAGTGATGAAGTGCAGGGACCTTGTGGTGTTTGTAAATACCTGTGTCTTCAAAGTGAATCCCATAGAGCCCCTTTGGCATCTAACCCCATTAGAAGATTAAGTCTTGGCCCTTATCATTCATTGGCAAAAGCCAGAACTTAAGTTGGCAGTTGAGGCTCTGACATTTGTCAATTGAACGAAGGGTCCTGGTGCTGGGAAGGATAGGGCTTAATTTCAGCTTGTACAGAGGTTGTGGCCTTGTGTACAGCCTAGGCCTAGGATCCAAGGGCTCCACAGAGACATGGGCGATTGATTTGAAAGCTGGCACAAGTACTTGCAGGCATGAGAAGGTAATCACGATTCTTAGCCTAGCTGATCACACTAAATAGTGCTCATTGAGCTCTGCTGGCTGTTGTAGTCAGAAAGCTGGCACCCGTGGCTATTTGAGTACCCAAACAATGATTGCATCTGATTGGATGCAGTTCTTTTTTAGCTGACAATTCCAACAAATTTGTTGAGCAGGGTAGTGCCAATAGGGCCATCCACAGCTTGAATTTTGGATGATTTAGCAGGAATCGTCCAAAATTCAAGCCTTGTATGGTCAGCATCAACTTAGAAACACTTTAGGCTGGCTGGAATCAATTTAAATTGCAAGCCAACACTTCATTTAAAATCTGTTTTCAACACATCTTGGCCAAAGCTAAAGGGTACTCTAAGGGCTTAAAGAAAGCTTCTTAAAAACTTGTCAAATGCTTAATAATTGTTCACTGAAGTTATTGCAGCTTAAACTAGCCGAAAATAGGTACAATTCTGATTGAAAAAAATTAAATTTCTGAACATTTTTTAGATTTTCTTATAGTTATTGGGGTCAAATCCATGACTGTTTTTGACTAAAATGTCAAAAAAAATCAAAGGAGCAGGATGAAATATTTTTCTGTAACAAAGTTCAAACAGTGACTGTGGTTTTTGTTTAGGGAAATTCTATTCATTCCTAAGTCGAATGTACTGAAAAAAGTTTTTCAGACGAAGACTGATTTGAAATTCTACCCGTGTATGGCCAGCTTTAGACAATAAAAGCAAAGATCAGTCAATGTTTAGAGATTTTGGGAAAATATGTCTAATTTGAGTTATAATTTGTGTTTTAGAGCAGATTGAGACAAAGCAAATAGTCTTATTGTTTAAATTGCTTGCGTTGTGGAAAATCAGCCTTTTTTGACATCTTTTATTTAAAGTTGAACTCCAGGTTTAGTAGGCAGAGTAATAATGCAAGAGGCTTGTGTTTGCTTTCTTCAGCCCTTGCTTCCTTTTGATATTTCATGAGGAATGTCAAAGTAATGCAGCCTCAAAGGATCCAGTTGTACTTGGTGTATGAGTTGGAGGCTGGTCACCGCTGCTCTCTCTCCTTGTGCAGGGTGACTAGTCTGGTATCCATCCTCTCTAGTTCTTACAAGGTAGAACCGGCATCACTAACCATGGAACTGCTCTGTGGATCCCCTGCTTGTCCCCACCAAAGGCTTGCCTACATTCCCAAGTGTCTGTGTGTTGGCAAAGGGTTCTTGGTAAATGTAGTTCTGTGGGGTTTCTACTATAGTAGGATGGGGCTTATCACTCTTTCCAGTGGCTGGAGATTGCTTTAAGGTGCTTAAAACTGTAATGATAGGAATGATTTTCTGGCATGAATGAGCAATGTGGTATTAAAAATATTTTTTGTTGTTATCGCAGTTCTATCAATCAAGAAATCATGGTGAAACACCTTAAGGAGTGGTGGTCCCTGGGCAGGGACAATATGGATGCATTTATATCATGGACAGCCTAATAAAGAGTATAGAAAGAAGGAGACTTTGGCGTTTGGCTTTTATTGATCAATATTTTTTTCATTGTTACTGTAAATAGGGAGAACGAGGTTTACAGGGGGCCAGAATTGATCCCAGAGTTGGAGAGGATGACATCTAGTCATTCCATGGCTGCCTCAAAGGAGTATTCAACAAGGTAACAAGCAGAACAACTTTTCTCAACCAGGATTCCTCAGAATTTACTAGGGGTTACTTGAGCAATGAACAATTTCTGACTCTCTGTTAAATAACCACTGAAACCATTGACCTTTTTTTAACCATTTGTAACGGGGGATTCTTTCTATTGCTCACAAATGTAAGGAGCATTCTTCTCTCTGACCATCACAGTAATGTACCATTAGGTATAGATATTGTACATATTAGCAGAGGTTCCCTGAGATCAGAAAGTTACTCAATACTAGGTGGGTTAAAGTTATGGATGATTGGTGTATATATATATATACTGTGTGTGTGTGTGTGTGTATATATATATATATATATATATATATATATATATATATACAGCCTTGAAAAAGTATTCATGCTCCTTGAAATTTTCCACATTTTGTCATGTTACAACCAAAAACTTAAATGTATTTTATTGGGATTTTATGTGATAGACCAACACAAAGTGGCACATGATTGTGAAGTGGAAGGAGAATGATAAATGGTTTTCAAAATGTTTTACAAATAAAAATGTGAAAAGTGTGGTGTGCATTTGTATTCAGCCCCCTTTACTCTGATACCCATAACTAAAATCTAGTGGAACCAATTGATCTCAGTATAAATACAGCTGTCCTGTGAAGCCCTCAGAGGTTTGTTAGAGAACATTAGTGAACAAACAGCTTCATGAAGGCCAAGGAACACACCAGATAGGTCAGGGATAACGTTGTGGAGAGGTGTAAAGCAGGGTTAGGTTATAAGAAAAATAACCCAAGCTTTGAACATCTCAGTAAGCACTGTTCAATCCATCATCCAAAAATGAAGGCTACAGCGTGGTTTTCAATGACGGCTACAGCGCGGTTGTCATATGACGTCCTCCCACAACGCACCCTCCCGCGTGCCCCGGCGATCTCCGTGATCGCTGTGTCCTATGGATCACATGATGTGGTAAAAGGCCAATCACAGCGGCTTTTTACCACGTGATCAGCTGTGTCCAATGTCCAATGTTGTAAATGCAGTTGCAAGTTATCGGCTGCATTTTGCTCACTCTGTCATAGCGTGAGGAAAGTACTGCCGATAACCGGCAATTGTCAGAGGACGGATCAGCACCGATCATCAGGGCACTGGTGATCAGTGCCCAGCAGTGCCGCCCACCTGTGCCCAGCAGTACCGCCCACCTGTGCCCAGCAGTGCCACCCAGATGTGCCCAGCAGTGCCTAGTAGTGCCACCCACCTGTGCCCACTAGTGCCCCCCATCAGTGCTGCCCATCAGTGCCACCCATCAGTGCCCAGCAGTGCTGCCAGTTCGTGCTGTCAGTCAGTGCCACCAATCAATGTCCATCAGTGCTGCCTATCCGTGCTACCTCACCAATGCTGTCTATCATTGCAGCCTCATCAACGCACATCACTGAAGGAGAAAAATTATCTGTTTTGCAAAATTTTATAATAGAAACAAAGAAAAACTTTTTTTTTTTTTCAAATTTTTTGCTCTTTTTTTGTTTATAGCGCAATAAATAAAACACCCAGTGGCGATTAAATACCACCAAAAGAAAGCTCTATTTGTGTGAAAGAAATTGGAAATATAATTTTATATGGGTACAGTGTTACAGTGTACAATTGTCATTCAAAGTGCGACAGCGCTGAAAGCTGAAAATTGGTCTGGGCACGAAGGGGGTATAAGTGCCCAGTAGGCTAGTGGTTAATGCAGAGGAAACTGGCTTTTCAGTTTCCTCATTTGTTTGTAAAGTCCATTTTGGGGCCTGCAGCCTGGAGATTTCAAAGTGATTTGGGAGGGATGAATTCTCCAATCCTGGGACCAGGTTTTGGGAATGGCCAGGAGACTGATTGTGCAGGTGTGTGTGGGTCTCTTCTAGAGTCAGGACCAGGGTTCTGGGCTCCACCCTCCCGAGGAGTCCATGTGGGTGCAAAGGAGTAGCCACAAGTGTGCATAGTGACACAGAGTAGTCTGACTGAGCAGATAGGGCCCAATCCTGCGGGCTGGAGAAGTAGGAATGCTGTGAAAGGGTGCTAATCAGGGTACAATGTTTGTATGTGAATGGTCAAGAGGACTGAGGCATAAAGCCTGAGCAGCGGTGCTGCTAAAGAGAACCAGGAGGCTGAATCTTTTTTTCTTTGACATTGATGGTGGATACCCGTGTGTGGGAAGCCTATATTGTACGGAACTTTCTTTTAAATAAAATTGGGCAAAAACGGCCCTTAAAAAAAGAAGAAAGCGAGTGGCTGTTTGATGCTAGTTCTCTCATATATATATATTATTATTATACAGTATTTATAAAGTGCCAATAGTTCGCTCAGTGCTGTACATTACAAAGGGGGACAGAACATGTGACAGAACAATAACAATACAATGCAAAATATGAGGGGATTGAGGGCCCTGCTCTTTCGAGCTTACAATCTAGGAGGGAGGGGATAGTGGTACAGGAGGAGATAGCTGTGGGGGATGGAGTGGTAGGAAGAGTGGAGGAGGTCGGCAAGTTAGCAGGGGGTGGGGTAGGCTTCCCTGAAGAGATGGGTTTTCAGGGTGCACCTAAAGGAGAGGAGAGTAGGTGATAATCTGATGGGTTGGGGCAGGGAGTTCCAGAGGATGGGTGACACCCTGGAGAAGTCCTGGAGGCGGGCATGGGAGGAGGAGACCAGGGAACTAGAGAGAAGGAGGTCTTGTGAGGAGCGGAGTGTGCGTGTTGGGCGGTACTTGGATATTAGGCCAGTGATGTAGTTCGGGGCAGTATGGTGGACAGCTTTGTACATCAGTGTTAGGATTTTGAATTTGATCCGTTGCGCAATCGGAAGCCAGTGGAGGGATTGGCAGAGGGGGGTGGCGGAGACGGAGCGGTTGGTAAGGTGGATGAGTCTGGCAGCCGTATTCAGGATCGACTGAAGCGGGGATAGCCAGCGGCGAGGCAGGCCAGTGAGGAGGGAGTTGCAGTAGTCGAGTCGTGATATGATGAGGGAGTAGATGAGCTGTTTAGTGGTTTCTGGGGTTAGGAACGTGCGGATTTTGGCGATGTTGCGGAGGTGGAATCTGCACGAGCTTGTTGGAAAGATTGGAGTCCAGAATGACACCAAGTACTCTGGCCTGCAGGGCGGGTTTGATGGTGGCGTTGTTGGATGTGATGGAGAATTCAATGGGGGGGTGGTGTCCGGGCTGGGGGGAAGACAAGAAACTCTGTTTTGGAGAGGTTCAGTTTAGGGAAGAGGAGCGACATCCAGTCATATATGTCGCTCAGTAGGTGTGTGATTCGGGCGGAGACTGAGGTGATGAGGTGGGGGTTGAGAGATAGATTTGTGTGTCGTCAGCATATAGGTGGTAGTTGAAGCCGTGAGAGTGTATGAGTTGGCCAAGGGAGGAGGTGTAGATGGAGAAGAGAAGGGGCCCGAGGACGGAGCCTTGAGGGACCCCAACAGAGAGGGGGAGTGAGGGAAAGGTGGTAGCATTATTGGTAACGCTGAAAGAGCATTGTGACAGGTAGGATGAGAGCCAGGAGAGAGCAGAATCTCTGAGGCCGAGGGAGTGTAGTTTTTTGAGGAGGAGGGGGTGGTCGACTGTGTCGAAGGCCGCAGAGAGGTCAAGGAGTAGGAGCACTAAATAGTGGCCATTAGCTTTGTATATATACATTTTGCCTGACAGGTCCTGTTCAATTCTGTTTGCTTTTTGCATTGCGTTATTAAATAACTTGCTATCTTGGTTGATGTTTATGATCCTTTCAGCTAATAATGGCAGTTGCTGTTTTCCTTAATTTTAAATATTGAGTTTGTACTGCCATTGAGAAATGTGTGCCTGTGTTTTTTCTTTTCTTTTTTCTTTAAGAAAATAAAAGTCGGCAGCAAAAAAAAAAACAGTCAGTCAGCTCAGACATTAATTTCATATCCACCTTTATTTTCGGTATAGCACTCTTTTCTTGTATTTCACGAACAGATTTCACATCAAGAGGAAGTGCTGAAGAGGTTAAAATAAAAGAATTAACCCAGTATATGCCATGCTGTGACCCAAGCAGCCTCTGTCTGATGGTGTCGGAACTGTGACAGAAGCAGGATCAGGGTGCAGGACCCAGTTTTGTGACCCTGGGCAAGTTCTTTATCTCCATTTGGCACAAGTACAATATGAGATTGTTATCTATAATGACGGTTCAGGGGTTCATTCGGCTTTGTCCTTCCCTTGTCAGAGATAGTGATTTTGGAAATATAACGCAAAGCAGAAATGTAAGAATGAGGGATCACTAGCTCTGCATTTGCTATTATTGATCAGGCTGTCTTTCATAGTAGAACATTGATATGGCTGAAGTTATTCTACCTTAAAAAGAAAGAGATGACTAATCTGGGTTTCAGATGGTACTGAAACATGAAGAAGAATGGAAGCCCCTTGACTGAGATATCTCTGTGCAGTAAAATTAGATCATTAGGAAAGAAAGTAATACATTTTATAAGTAACATGCAGTTCTTGAGCTCCCATAAAGTAATATTTCTTCACTCGGTCTCTCTGGAGGAATATGACGTCCTCAGTTTGAAAGTAGAAGAAGGCATTTCCTCGATCATCACTTTCCTGGTGATCACCAGGTTATGCATTTTAACCACAGTCTTGCCATGCGATTATATGTGCAGTTATTGTATTGTCTGCATGTTATTTACTTTTAAAAGTTTCCTTATATAGACATTCAAAAGCCCCGAGACTGCTGCGGGTTGTCACCATATTTGATGTGAAATCAACAACCCGATCAGACTCTGAGCTATCACTTAGGTATCATGGTATAGTATCCCCCTTTGCTCTGCCCCCTGGAAGCTATATAAAATTTCAAAGGGAGGTAAGTGGAGGTGCAGTGAAGCTAGACCAGCAAAGAGAGTAATTAGACACTTCTAGAAGAGAGAGGGGCATGTAAAGTCCAGCTCTCAACCCAGGCATTGCTGGGCTATAGGGAAGAAACAGAGTCACATGACCTAAGATATGAAGATTTTTTTAGATGTTTGCTCTTTAAACAAAACTTCAAGTAATTTTTTTTACCATGTAGTGGGGTTGTGCTGGTACTGCATAGGTTAACTGTTAATTTTCTCTAGGGGTGAACACAGAGCCTATACTCACACAATCATTCCATCCTCCGTAAAACAGCGCTCCTTTACATCCAGTGGTGAACTGTTCCTGATGTCTTCATGTCCAGAGCCGGTCTATGGGCGTGATGAGCAGTCCACCGCTCAAGACCACTGGGGGGCAGAAGCCGAAAGGACCGATCTTGCTCTGGGAGGATTGGAGGATTAGGTGAGTACATCTCAGCTCTCTGAACTCCTACACCAAAACGAGCAGTTAACCTATACAATGCAGGTACAGCCCTGCTGCATGGTAAAAAAGAAAAAGAAAAAAAGTGCTTTAAATGAATCACTGGTGGTATTCCTTACCCATAAAAAGTATAATAAATATCTGGATTTACAACCACTTTATAGTTTAAGTTCACCTTTCGAAACATTTTGCAAAAAGCCTCCTACGCCATTCTAGATCCCCTGAATAGTACATACAAGTGTTCCTCATTTTCAAATGCTACACCTGCTTCCATTACATACGGAGCCGTGGAGGGGCCTCTCTGCAGAGACTGCTGGCCCTTTGATCCTCCTTCATCCTGCCATTTGCTGGATGTGCTGGATGCCACAAGTGTGTCCCCCCTAGTAGCCACTGTGTGCAAGTGCAGCATGCTCTCTCTTCTAACTGCAGCAGCCAAGCCCTCTGTGCATGTACACAGTGACCAGTCACTAGGGGGCGCACACTTGTAGCATCCAGCATATCCTGTAAACAGCAGGACAGAGGGAGATGAAGAAGCCGGCAGTCTCTGCGTAGAGGCTCCTCCACAGCCTCATTTGTAATAAAAAGCAGGGGTAGCATTTGAAACTATACACACTATACAGGGATATGCTTTGTTCATATTTCATGTCTGTGGATTACAATCACTTACACTATATTGCCAAAAGTCTTGGGACACCCCTCCAAATCATTGGACTCAGGTGTTCCAATCACCTCCATGGCCACAGCTGTATAAAAGCAAACACCTAGGTATGCAGACTGCTTCTACAAACATTTGTGAAAGAATGGGTCGCTCTCAGGAGCTCAGTGACTCCAAGTGTGGTGCGGTGATAGGTTGCCACCTGTGCAATAAGTCCATCCGTGACATTTCCTTGCTACTAAATATTCCATGGTCAAGTGTTAGTGGTATTATAACAAAGTGGAAGCAACTGGTAACAACAGCAAGTCAGCCACCAAGTGGTAGGCCACGTAAAATGACAGAGCGGGGACAACACATGCTGAAGCGCAGAAGTCACCAACTGTCTGCAGAGTCAATAGCTAAAGACCTCCAACCTTCATGTGCCCTTCAGATTAGCACACCAACAGTGCGTAGAAAGCTTCATGGAATGGGTGTCCATGACTGAGCAGCTGCATCCAAGTCTTACATCTCCAAGTGCAATTCAAAGCATCAGATGCAGTGGTGTAAAGAATGCCACCACTGGACTCTAAAGCAGTGGAGATGTGTTCTCTGAAGTGATAAATCATGCTTCTCTGTCTGGCAGTCCGATGGATGTGTCTGGGTTTGGCGGTTGCCAGGAGAACGGTACTTGCCTGATTGCATTGTGCCAAGTGTAAAGTTGGGTGGAGGGGGGATTATGGTGTGGGGTTGTTTTTCAGGGGTTTGACTTGGCCCCTTAGTTCCAGTGAAGGGAACTCTTAAGGTGTCAGCATACCAAGACATTTTGGACAATTTCATGCTTCCAACATTGTGGGAAGAGTTTTGGGATGGCCCCTTCCTGTTACATCATGACTGCGCACCAGTGCACAAAGCAAGGACAATAAAGACATGGAGGAGTGAGTTCGAGGTAAAGGAACTTGACTGGATTGCACAGAGTCCTGACCTCAACCCGATTGAACACCTTTTGGATGAATTAGGGTGGAGACTGGGAGCCAGGCCTTCTCCTCCAACATCAGTGCCTGACCTCTGGAAAAAGTGGTCAAACCTTCCCATAGACACCCTCCTAAACCTCGTGGACGGCCTTCCCAGAAGAGTTGAAGCTGTTATAGCAGCAAAGGGCGGGTCAACTCAATATTGAACCCTACGGACTAAGACTGGTTGCCATTAAAGTTCATGTGCGTGTACAGGCAGGCCGACCAATACTTTTTTCAATATAGTGTATGTAGGAGGATTTGCGGCCTGTTGTTTGCTACATGTGATGTAAACATTGCTGCAGGCACAAGGCAAAGCATCGTGGCCCCGGCATGTAAACACCCACGTCAGCTGCCTTTCATAGCTTAAGTGGGGGGTGGTTGTCGGGTGGCAGAAACGTAGCTCAACCGCATATTCTTGCTGCCCCCCAACCGCAAGTCTAAACAAAGCCTTAAAACATAAGATTTTGTTACTAATTATCTTGCAAATTAATATAAAGTTACCAGTTATGCTTGAGAAAAAAAAAACTCAAAGAGTGAAAACAGCGCAGTTTTTGACCTGCATGATGGATGACACATATTTGGACTCACTATGATGTGGCTACTCCTGTCAGGTATAATCCTTTCCTCTGTTGCCACAGAAACATCAATAACGTTCCGGAGATAGAGGATCTCAAAACGTGAAATGTGTGCACACCTCTGCTGAACCATTGTATTTACTTTATTTTCGCGGTTCAGGATGTGCATAATTTTGATGCTAACAACATTACCTCTTCCTTTTTTAATGCTGAAGATAGATGGCATTTTACATATATAAATAATTTTTTTTGTGGCACAGCGAGTGACATTGCATTGTGCCGAGTGTACGCCAGTCACCTGGCTGTCCTTTTTCTTGTGCAATTCAGCGATACGCTATTTAAGCGGCTGCCAAGTAAGTTGAGAAATGTTACATTAAAGAGCATGTTGTTTGCTTGTGCATTTTGAAATACTATTCAATTTATGGCAATTTCGAGTTATTTTTCTGTCACTTTGTATTTCTTTTCAACCTGACGTACAGAAGCCCTGAAGGAGAAAAAAAATATAAATAATAAAGAAAAAAATATTAAAGGTAAAAAAACATAAAAAGGACTCCCTTGGGGTTTAGTCAGAGATGTCAGCACTCAAGAACACGAGGTGCGGCGTAGAACAATCTCAGGTCGTAAAAATGTCAATTTTCTCCGACTCATATTTTACTGTATTCTATGCTTGTTTATCTGGTTAAGATACCTGTTCTCTGCCTTTTGTCATTTGTTTGTGTCTAGGCAGATGTATGTGACATAGCACCCCCTGCCAAACATGACATGCTAAGTCAACTCGTGGCTGCGGTAATGTGAATGAGCGCATGCACAGCTCACTGTATTGGGACGGACAAGCAGGTAGGTAATTTTAATGCAGAAGAGACAAAGCATTTCTATTCTGCATTAAGAGTCCTGCCTATTTACCCATTTTTATTTTTTTTTTTAATTATCTAAAGTTCCACTTTATGTAGGAAGGTAGTGCCATTTATGGGCTTAAGCTGGACATGTATCTGATCTGTCCTTGAACCTTGTGGAGGGGAAAGATAAATGTTCCACACTTCATGCCCTTATATCCTTGCCTCCTTGTGTTTACATTTGTCCTGCATGTTACCAGGGGTGGGGGGGATGCTAAGCCAAGCAGGGCTTTTTTGCCCCAACATTTTCTAGTGAACCCAGGCTGCCATGGTGACAAGCCATGAAAACCTGGGCTCCCGTGAAGTTAGTTGATTGATGCTGGCCATCGTTCAACCCAGGGCATCTACTGTGGTAGCTGAAAGGGGGCAATAGGGGCAGCTTCGGTAAGTGTTAAGAAAAACTTAACAAAGCTCAAAGTAGTAAAAAATCAATCCTGGGTGGCAATTCTAAATTCAAACTGGTTGAGGGTGCATATCCCTACACACCAAATAGCTACCTGGATACAAATTTAAAGTGTTCCTAAACCCAGGATCCATCATCCACTATATCTGGTCTCCCACAGTACATAGAACATGGAAATGCAATTATTTTAGTAAATATAAATGGCTAAATCCTTTTCTCGTCAGCAGTATTGTCAGGCTCCGCCCAACGGGATCTCTAGTGGTCCACAGCACGGGGTTTCCCAGGACGCGGAGTCTAAGTCCCAGTCTGCCTTTTCACCAGAGCTACTGATGGTGGGGATGGACTTGGTGCAAGACTGGAACCAGGTCGCGCCCCTGGGCACCCCCGGCGGTGGTAGAGGGATCCCGCTGAGGGTGTGTGCCCAGGATGAGCCTGCTGTGAAGGGGATGACAGGTCCCGATCCGAGCGGGATGGATGGATGACTGCTAGGAGTGAGCGAGGTCAGACTAGCCGGGTCGGTATCATGCGGGCAACGTGGTACAGGAGGAGCAAGCGGAGAATGGTCGAGGTCACAAGCCAGGTTCAGCAGGTAGCGGGCAGCGCGGTACCGAGGATCAGGCAAAAGGATGGTCAGGGACGAGCCGGGGTCAGAGCAGGAGAGGGTCAGCATAAATCAGAACAGGCAGAGTATGGCAACAAGGAAACGTACTACAGGAACAGAAACAAGACCTTGCGGCAACTTGGAGATGCACAGGGCAGGTTTAAATAGAGCGCCCTGTTCTCCCATTGGTGCGGCCGCGATCGCTAGTGCGCATGCGCGGCCGCCACCGCGATCGCCGAGGACTCTGTGCTCGCCGGCTCGGACGGATCGGCAATCTGCGCATGCGCGCACCGCCGAGCGCCCGGGATCCCTGACAAGTATATAGCAGTCTTGTGACTTCTATCAGTGTCCGGCCGAGCACTGATTAAAGCTTGTAGGAGGAGTTCTCATTCTCCTCTGACTGAGGCTGCAGGACCCTTGACCCTCTGTCTGGACAGTGCTGATTGGCCCTATGCTGATCACATGTACTCTCCCAAGAAACAAAAAAAAACTCCCTAGCAATATCCAACAAATTGAGCATGTGCAGCTTGCCCCCAAGGCTCTGCTCTATGAGCAGATGGATTGGGGACAATAGAGAAAGAGGAGGATCAGAGAAGACAGGATCAAACAGCCTTTTTTACACAATGCGGAGGATTAACCCCTTACGTTCCACAGTGAGGATAACTGGTAGGGTGAGGTACAAGCAGAGACATTACACTCATTATGACTGCCTTAAGATTAACATATATCTATATGGATATTGATTTATATAGCAGACAAATAGCTATCCAGTGTAGAGACCTTTCTATATATAAAGGCCAATTAGCCATATGGCAAAGAAAATATAGATGGCGGCTATCTCCATTTACAGTCATGGCCGAAATTGTTGGCACCCTTGATATTTCTCCAGGAAATCATGTATTTCTCACGAAACGTATTGCATTAACACATGTTTTGCTATACACATGTTTATTCCCTTTGTGTGTATTGGGACAAAACAAAAAAAGGGAGGAAAGAAAGCAAATTCGACATAATGTCACACAAACCTCCAAAAATGGGCTGGACAAAAGTATTGGCACCCTTTCACAACTGCGGATAAATAAGAATGTTACAAGCATGTGATGCTCCTGTAAACTCACCTGGGGCAAGTAACAGGTGTGGGCAATATAGAAATCACACCTGAAAGCAGATAAAAAGGGAGAGACGTTCACTTAACCTTTGCATTGTGTGTCTGTCTGTGCCACACTAAGCATGGACACAGAAAGAGGAGACGAGAACTGTCTGAGGACCTGAGAACCAAAATTGTGGCAAAATATCAACAATCTCAAGGTTACAAGTCCATCTCCAGAGAACTAGATTTGCCTTTGTCCACAGTGCGCAACATTATCAAGAAGTTTGCAACCCATGGCACTGTAGCTAATCTCCCTGGTCGTGGACGGATGAGGAAAATTGATGAAAGATTGCAACGCAGAATAGTCCGGATGGTGGATAAGCAGCCCCCAAACATGTTCCAAAGACATTCAAGCTGTCCTGCAGGCTCAGGGAGCATCAGTGTCAGCGCGAACTATCCGTCGACATTTAAATGAAATGAAACGCTATGGCAGGAGACCCAGGAGGACCCCACTGCTGACACAGAGACATAAAAAAGCAAGACTACAGTTTGCCAAAATGTACTTGAGTAAGCCAAAAGCCTTCTGGGAAAACGTCTTGTGGACAGATGAGACCAAGATAGAGCTTTTCGGTAAAGCACATCATTCTACTGTTTACCGAAAACGGAATGAGGCCTACAAAGAACAAAACACAGTACCTACGGTAAAATATGGTGGAGGTTCAATGATGTTTTGGGGTTGTTTTGCTGCCTCTGGCACTGGGTGCCTTGACTGTGTGCAAGGCATCATGAAATCTGAGGATTACCAAAGGATTTTGGGTCGCACTGTAGGGCCCAGTGTCAGAAAGCTGGTTTGCGTCCAAGATCCTGGGTCTTCCAGCAGGACAATGACCCCAAACATACGTCAAAAAGCACTCAGAAATGGATGGCAAAGAAGCGCTGGAGAGTTCTGAAGTGGCCAGCAATGAGCCCAGATCTAAATCCCATTGAACACCTGTGGAGAGATCTTAAAATTGCTGTTGGGAAAAGGTGTCCTTCCAATAAGAGAGACCTGGAGCTGTTTGCAAAGGAAGAGTGGTCCAAAATTCCGGGTGAGAGGTGTCAGAAGCTTATTGATGGTTATAGGAAGCGACTGATTTCAGTTAT